CCCCAAAACCCCAAAACCCCAAAACCCCAAAACCCCATTTACTAAAACTAATCTTGAAAACTTTATAATATTGACATTCCCATAAATGATGAAGGAAATGCATACTACACAACGCAAGGCTATGATTCAGCCAAGACGATTGAGGAGTCCTGTGAAGTGCTCTACAAAGAGACATAATGGACAACTCCCTCAGCCAGAAGCATCTGCTACATTTAGCCTTGATAATAATAGGGATGTGGAAGAAATTTTGTCCAGGCACGGAGGAACTTACCAACCTGACTTTGGAGCAGGCAGAGGGATGAGCTTTGGCACTTCTCATCGAGATAGTGGTTGGAACAAAGTCCTTAACACTATCACTGGCAAAATCAAAGACCAAAGAGTGAATGAAACTATCCAAAAGTTAAATACTGAGAAGGTATGACTCCACAAGTGCAATTAATGGTGCTCGAATCTCTTTTTCAAATATCTTCAAAGTTTAATCTCACCTTCTTTTGTGTAAATAATGATACTTTCTACAATCATAAAACAGATTTATCCACTTCTCGAACCATATTGAGAGTGTTGCCTGAAATGGTTAGGCAGTTAGGCTAGGAATTTTCCTCTCTAAAAACATTAAGTCTAGGTGAAGTATAATTTTCTTTTAACCGTAATTGGCACTAAACATAATATTATTATTCTATAATCTTAGCTTCTATTGTAACTTCAGATATGAAATTTTTAGTGAAGAGTAGATCAAATGACTCACTAATAAACCATTTTTTGGATCATTTATCATTTGAAGAGTCACGATTTAGCTAAAAAGTATCACTAATTAAACGACCCCTTTTCGAATCACCTAGTTATACTTATCCTACAAGCTAGGTGTAAACAATGGTAAATTTTGACAAGTATTGGACATACACAAATTCATTGGAATAATAACTAAGTAATAGGATGCTATAAATTACCATCTCATAATGACTGCTAAATTAAGAAAATAGATTATAAATTTTCTCCCAAGATTGAAAGTTGTTAGAGACAACCAGTTAGCATCTTTAAGACCCCTAGCGTTTGTCAGACTCTAAGAATTAGCTTATGGGACTGATTTGTTCTCCAAAATCTGTATAATGGTAGATAAAATAGTTATAATTTTCAAAATAAGTCCAGCTTCCTTCTATTTTTACATATTTCCATCTCTGAAATCCTAGTGGATGGAGGCTTAGGAATCACATAGGGTTTACCTATCTATCATTGTCATTACTGTGATAAAAACACAGCACCTACATCCTGAGAGATATCAAATTTGACCAGTATTGGTATTTCACAACAAAGATTTGTACACACAAAATTAAGAATTTTTCTTAGAAAAATCTCTTCAAAAATTATGAGTAAATTATTCAAAAGAGATTTCAATCAAAATGTTTTGAACTATTCCTTCACTTCAATAGTAAAAAATACTGAAATTTATGAATAAATCCAGATTTTTATTGAAAATTCTTGACGATTTTGAATGGGTATTTACAAAACATAGATCAAGAGTGTGGACGCCAAAGGAGCCTCGAAGGCTCAAGATTTCCTCAAATCAATGATGGAAGCCAACTCCAAAGGAAAAGATAATGAATATTTCACAAAGATGTACCAAAAGTATCTGAAGGAAGCTAAGAATCGCCACCCTCAAAAGAGAGGAATAAGGTAAAATACAAAATTTTATTGAAACAACCTTCAATTTTGGGGGAAATTTACTGGTTTAAAAATTATCTGACATGACCTAGAACCAAACCAAGCAGGATGATGTCTAAATAAGTCTACTAACAACGCGTTGAACTTTAAAAAGAGAGGTTTTAGCACAAAAAAGTCAGGTATTAAGCCTCTATCAAGCTTGGCATCATCACAAGTCAAGAGTATGTCTCCGAAGAAAATATTCTCTCCTAGTGGAGCAAACAAATCAAGAAACATCTCTAGTTTTGAAGAAGTCAAGAGTGCCATCAAAGATCTAAAGGTAGCATCATCATGTGGCTGATGACCCATACTTTATAGAAAAAGAATACCTCTTGTTTGAAAGGAACTGTTCAAAGGATTCGCCATAATAGATTTCTTCCAAAAGTAAGTCTCTCCTCTAATTGGTAGGGATTTAACAAGACTGTTCAGGGGAAATTTGACAAAAATCCTTTCTCTGCTAGAAAAATCAAATCACCGATGGTGAGACACAACGCGTTAAGCCCTATCGCAGATTATACTAACTCTTCGATAAAAAAGGTACCATATGTCTGATCAAAATAGCCTTCTCAGAATCTTCAAAAGGAATGAAAAAGGAAGCAAAATAACTCGATGATGAAAAGTCCTAAGAAGTAATTCCCCAGATTAAATTTTAGGATGAAATTATTGAAAGAAGAATCTAAGCAGAGCAAGTTCAAAAAGGCCAAAATAAAGCTCAAAAATATATCTAAGAACAAAGCTGCAGAATCACCTTCAAAGAAAAGCATAGTGAGGAAGATTGAGAGCATGAAAAGGTGTATGACCAGAGACAACGACAGTAAGATTTTGTAATTTCAGGTAATTATACCCATGTAGGAGATAGTGTCACTTCCTCAGTTATACCAGCAAAGAAGCTTCCAATGAGCAAGTCAAAGTCCAAAAGGAAAATAGAGGATAATTTCCCAAGAGGAAGGCAGGCTAGAAGAAGTACTATTTTTCAGCATATGCCATTCAAGCTGCTAACCCCATCTCCTCTCCCACAAGTGGATGAAATATGGTAAGTCCATCCTAAATTCCCATTTCTCATTGAATCCAGCTACAAAAAGGCAAAAATTAAGAAATTTAAGACAAAGGCGATATCTAAAAATGACTCTACCCTTGCACCTAGTACCAAAATGACAGAGGCACAGCTAAGGAGGCGGATCACAAAAGTGTTAAAAAGGATAAACTTCAGCTCAGGAAAAGACTGTACAATATCCAGGAAGACTTCTTCTAAAAAGGTATACTTTTTCTCAGAATTCCATAATCTTTCTGTAGAATGTAAGCACCATCAAGAAGTCTATCACTGTAAGCCATCCTGACTTAGAAGTTATAGAATAAGAAATTAAGAAGGATCAATACAAAGATGAAGCAAGATATAGCAGTACAAAAGAGAAGAAGTACCCTCCCAGTGTTTAAGATTAACAGTAAGCTATCTAGTGCACCAGCGTTGACCTTTTTATAGTAATTTCAGCTGAACAGTCCTTACTAGCTCCAGAGAGTTCTAAGTAAGCCTTTAGTCTTTTCTCGATGCTTTTTAAGATAATTTTTTCTAATAAAATATAGAAATAAATCTGAGAAGACTATTAACCTAAAATTTGAGAACGAAAAACCAAGGTCTGATGATCAGTCTAAATCTGGTTTTCCCATAAATATCAACCTGAGTAACAATATCACTGAAGAGAGTTCATCGCAAGACTCTAGTAGTACTGCCACCTTCAATGATACTATCTCTGGAGATAAGAATGAAGACCAAGAAGTTCTTTCAGTGTCAGAAGACCTGGCTTAAGCAATCTCTGCTGTAGAACATTAAATCAATCCTAATTTATATAAAAATCTGCATTAATATTGCTCAAATTTGTCTTAAGATGTGACAGGTATCATCTCCATTTTATTCTGAGATACCCAATATGAGAATGATTAAAAGGGGTTTTGGGGTTTTGGGGTTTTGGGGTTTTGGGG